AAAAAAAAGAACAAAAGACGTTACATTGTATCTTAGCTAAGGACTTTTTAGCTTCAATTTTGTATCCTTTCAAAGCTATTATTTGATCACAGACATATCTCTATGTAACATAGCTAAAGCAACGTATTTAATCATATTGTATTTAGAGTAACCATACAAGCAATAAATGACTGAAAATTTGATACACAAAAGTTCAAATTCAAAGTGTTGAGTATATAATAAATATAAATTATTTACACATTTAGTTTTTCATAATATTTAAAATTATTTACTGAGCCAAGCATTTTAAAGCTAATATAGCGAACATATATTTGTTATTTTTTCAGTGTGCAAGTGTGTGTATGTTCTTTATAGTTTTGTTCATTTCATAAATATGCGTTTTGTCCTTTTTTTTTGGGGGACGGAGGCAGCCTGCGGCTTTCATAAGTTGAAGGAGCTGGGCTCACCTTTTAGCCGTCCCTTGTCCTTGTTTTGCCCATAAGCAGATTCATAATTTGATCCTGGGGTAAATACATTTTATTATGCTTTTATGTGTGAGCCATCTTGGAGTGGAGTGTCCAACCTTGGGACAGGTTGGCCATGTCCTTTAAGTGCAAACTTATGAATTGGTCAGGGGACATGTGTGGCAGTATGTGTGCGGGGTGGTTCAGTTCAGTTCGGTTCGGTTCGGTACGGTTCGGTGTTTGCCTTTAATATTTTTGCCTATAAACATATTTTTATTTATTTAGGTCGGGCAGAAAAACGTACTAAAATACGGCCTTACCTACCACAGCTGCACTTGATGGCCCATACATATCTGCTATATATAGTTTATATGGCCTACCTCCCCCCGTAACATATCCTCTTGTACTTGGAAGGTATTGCCTGGCAGCAGTCAAGCAAATCACTTAACACTTTCACTTCAACGCTAAATTAATTAAAATTTATACTACCGCAGTGGCGGAGAGCGCAAAAACAAATAAATTAAATAGGCGTTAAAATAGTTCATATTTCATCTGGCCTAGCGCGCTTTTTTTCCCCCGGTTTCTATGGAAAAGTCCAATCCAATCTTGTCGACGTGGCAGGAGAGCAGGCGAGAACAATTGGCCAAGTGCTGACAGGCGGATACGAATGGCCCGAAACAGTCACACAATGTAGTCACAAAGTCAAACTTTGGTCACGCCCCGATTGCGGCAGTGTCTTCTAGGGAAACTGCATCTGGGCACTTGATTAATTTCCTGCAGACAGCGACAATGGACCAAATGAGGTAGACGAAAGAGCGGGTCCACCAATTAGCCAGAACAGGCCGTCTAATTGGCCAGTGAAATAGAGAGCCAAGAGCCCTCAGGCCCCAAGAAATAGAAATCCAATGCGAGGAGATGGCATCACGTAGCCGCATCGCCGTATGATTTTGCACTTTCGGTTTTTATTTCACTCCGGGGAGCTTGTTAGCCAGCAAAACGTGAGCTAAGACGCTACGGAATGATGTGTGTTTGCATTTTAGATGGCCGCTCGTGTTGCGTAAGTCGATAAAAATTTCATATTTATTGACCATTAACACCTAGGGCCCAGCTGAGTTATCTCATCCACTGGGGCTCCACTGGGGATCCGCATCCACATCCACATCCTCATCCTCATCTCTACGTCGAACGTTGAATGTCGACGAATGCGAACAATTCGCGTCGACATCTTGTCTGCATAATTGCAACACATACTCGCCGGTGTGCTCTGGGAATAGCTATAGCTGCCAGACGACGATGGTCTATATGGTCGGTAGTCTGGGACTTTGAAAGACTGACACTGACGCCAGCATGTCGGCCCGCCCCCTGCCACTCCCACCACCACCGCCTCCCCGCTTTCCCGCCTTCCCGCATTTCCCACCCTTTCAAGCACCTCGCGCGTCAAACTCCTCCCAAGAAAGTGGCACCTTTGGGCCGCCACATACTTAGGTGGCGTCAACCTACTTCGCCAGACAGTAAAGGTTCCTTATAAGAACCGAAGGTATTCTTAAGAGAAAGGGTCCGTAAAATATCATCATAAGATTTAAGAATGGACTTTTCATTAACTAGGGACCCCCATTCGTATTGAGGCCTGGAAAACTAACTATTTCTTAATACAATCTTAATGATTTAATCATATTATTAACATATATCTTACTAAGGCTTTAAAACCTAACCGAAATATTTTTAGAGATTTAATGATTTCTTAAATTTGTTTGCATTGTCAAACTTTTATAATGCTCGGCTGTACTTATACAAATTTGTATTCTAATTGGTTTAACTAATAATTAAAGATTGCAGTCTAAGAAAACATAGTCTTTTAACTTCTAAGAATTAAGGAACTTTTTTATAACCAATTTATTGTGTATTCCCATATTTTCCTATATTTCCTTATAGCCCAAAGACTACTATAGCTATCCCATTCCTTGGTCGAAAATAGTTGCCAACACGGCCCACAAATTATTGTCATTGTCACTATGCGGGTCTTGTCGGCATTGTCGCACCTTTCGGATTGTGGCGCTTTCGACATTCGAGTGGCGCTGCGATAATGCCGATGTGATGTTGACAGTTGCAGCAACAATTGCAGCGAGTGCAGCGGCAACTGCAACAATGCACCTTGCCGCGGAAAGGTGCAACCACTTAATGCCGCATTATTTGGTACATTTCAACGGGCCGAAAAATCGGGGCGATTTTCTAGGTGCGAACTTCCCCAAGCGAGCGACAATTTTCCCCGGCATTTTCCCCATTTGCCGCTAGGGGCGGGGCCCACAGTCTTGTTGGCGTCACAGCGTCGGCGAATAAATGAAAAATCATTTCATTTCAATTCATTTTCACTTAAAAATACGCCGTACACTTTTCACGTACACAAATCGAGCGGGATTGGGCATCGTATAGTATATCGCATCGACTTGGAAGAGACGGGGCCAGGCAATAAATTAAATTTTCTCTCGGCTAGCGAAAAAGCAAAACGCTGAAAACCGTGGAAATGCAGCCCTAATCGAAGGCGATGTGAGTTTTCCCCGATTTTCCCCCCCGCCTTTCACCGTTTCCCGAGTGGCTGGCACAAATGAAGCGCGCCGTGTGCCACACTTTTTCCACCGAAAGTCGAAATGCGTTTCCAGTTTATTTTCAAAATGTTCAATTTCAATAATTTTTTAATGGCCCCAATGCACGCACGCACGTCCAGGGCAACTCTATAAAGCACTGCTCCCTATAAACCCCACCCACATAACCGATCCGTTCCGTTCCGTTCCGTTCCGATCCGAACTAAACCGTTTGGCCAATTAGTCGAGATGTTTGCACAAATGCCAGAAGATTGCAGACGAGTGCCGGCGGCATATAAAATTTCAAGCTCATCGCGACCGATGGGCGCCATTGTGCAGATCATGATCCTAATGGAGTTAATCTGTCCAAGACACCGGAAAAAATGTGAAAAGAATGCTAAGCAAAGAGTGCATATTAAATAGAGATCACCTATCAAATCAGACTTAAATCATAACCTATAGATACCATGGATTTTGATATAGCTTTTATTACTTTACCCCTACTTTTGTTTTAATTATTTACCAGTATCAACGACTCAATTGTGTTGACTTACATTATATAATTGAAAAGCCTTTTCTCAAATGTTATTTTAACTGGATTTAATAATTGTATATCATTCCTTGAATTAAAAGTAATAAAACGATTTCTAAATATATTCCCGTAACTTAGCCCAAAAATGGGGTGATCAATTTGGCAGCAATTTACTGTACAGTGCAGATTTGTAGCTGCGATCGGAATGCGCCTCGATTATTTGTTTGTACACGGTCTTCAAAGGAGAGCCCCAGTTTAATATCGGTGTTTGATGCTGTTTTCCGCTTTTGCTTTGACATCTCAAAGGAACACAAACTGCAGAATCGGGCAGAGAAAACACCTTTGTGCCGCGTCACCTATAAAAATGTCCGATCTTTACGATCTTTTGGCCCCACCACGGCAAATGACAGACCGAGTTTATATGGTCGGGCGACTTCCACGAATTCCGCGCCGGAAATTATGACCGCGCGAACGGAGGTCGGCCTTTTGAGGCGACAACAATGTTGCCAAACATTAAAATATGAAAATTCACTTAAGAACGTAAACAACACAGAATTTCGTTCCGTCTCTGTTTTTCTCCATTCTCCGCGCTCCCCATTTCGTCATAAAATCAGCCAGGGACTGGAAATTGAAAACTGAAAAACAGAAATACAAAAATACAGAAAAACAGAAAAACATCGGAGAGAAAAAATCCGAGTGTCCAAGGCGGCAAACGCTTTACGATCGATCGTTAAATAAATTGGCAAATAAATGTAAATGAGGCATGGGCAAAACTAAACAACTCCCCTTTCCCACGAATGCATCCATCAATGGCGGGTCCGGCTTTTTTTTTTGGCGGAACAATCCGCCGGACAGTCGGGCAGGTCAGCCAACCAAATGGCTCCTCGAACGATGCTGGGGAAATGTAAATTATAACTGAATTTGCATATCGTGTACGTGTGGGCACTCGCATAAATCACAGCTCTCAATGGTTTTCTTTGAAGAATTTGGCTAGTCAGAAAGAGCTGATAGATAAATGGATCCCAGATGGGGCCAAGGATCGATTTGATAGTGACTGTAGATTGGCTAAATATTCTTGCAAGGTAACTTGTAAAATCATAATAATTAGATATCAGTTCTAATTCTAGTTTCGATAACAATGATAGCAATAGAAAATTATACTTTGCTAAAGTTATACTAATTTACTATTTACTTGGTATTAAAATATTTCAAACAGCTTTAATCATTTAATTTGTGACTGTAGATAAGCGGCATAGAAACAAACAAATTAATCTTTAGAGCACGACAACAAAAAATTGTTGAGTCTTATTCTGGTAATCAGGGAAAATAGCTCAAAATTTATTTGTGGCACTAACAACAAAATTTCAAAGTTCGGAACCTAATTCCATTAGTTTTAAAAATCATTAGCTTTATAAATGAAAATTGAATACAATTTTTTTACAGTAATTACCACAATTGGCAATGTTCGGACGTAGGACGCATGCCACTTCCTACGGGGCAGTTAAAGGCCTGGAAAAAGTCCTCGCTGTTTGATAAGGCACCAAGAACCCGGAATTTCTCAAAGCTGTGCGGATCGTTGGAATTCGTGTAATTCTCTTCTTTGTTATCGGAGCAAAGGTACTGAGCAAAACCCAGAAAGAAGAGCTGATCAGGCAACAGGTCGAGTCCTGGCATCTGCTCGCTGGGGATATCCTGTCCAGGATCCACCTGGCTGCGAAAGGCTTCAAATGCAATTCTCAATCCACCATTGTCGGCCATATTCTCGTCCTGTGTCTGAACGCCATCGATATGGTATTTACTATATTGACTCACAAAGCACTCGGCATGATCTTTATAATACTTCGTAATTTCAAAACTGTGGGTTAGCTCGTGGCCCACGATGGAACCCAAGCTCCCGTACTTTAGGGAGCGGGGCATTGAGCGGTGATATACGGGTGGATGCAAAGTGCCGGCAAAGATTTCAATAGAATTGAAAGCAAAAGAGTATGTGCCTCCCACATTCATCCCGAGCAGAAAATCCTGTGGCTTGGAATCCTTTGGCAAATGTTCGGCATGTCTGATGCTGAAGCTTTCGATATTGACAGTAAGTCGTTTCAGATTGATGTTAGTCTCCGCGTAGCTGCCTTCGTCGATTTTCAGGCTACCGATCTCCCGGATTAGACGATCTGTTCGATCGTCATCTTTGACGCTTCCAACGTATGACAGAAGACCGGATTCCTTGCCCAGAAGCTCCGGTTGAGTTCTAAGCAACTTTCGTAGGCTCTTACGCAGAGCCCCCACAATTTCAGTTACTTCAAATTTCTTTTCCTCAGTAAAGTGCTCCTGTAAAATAATGTTTGTAAGTCTTTGTAGGAGGAAACCTTTTTTTATTTTAGGTACTCACCGCCATATAGAGTTTGTCAAAGAGGAACGGCATGGATTCCATCAGTGTCAGCGCGCAATAATCCCTTTGGTACTTGGTCGCAGGAAGTTTGGCGTCAAATGCGAAGAGAAGCTTCATGGCCAGATAGTTGGCCACGGCCTCTTTATGCCGGGAGCAAACCATGGAAATCATATCCTTGAACTCAATAAGAGTTTTCGACCTCCTCACTAACGCCTCATGCCAGAATGCGAAAACCCCCTCGATCACTTCTGCAATTTTGGCCTCAGGGAGGTTATAGGATTGTAGATAGCCTCGCATTCGCTCCGCGTTGAATTGGTAGGAGCGGGAAGTGTTATTATCGATATTGTGCTTGTCAACGAATTCTTCAAAACCAAAAACCGGCACATTTAAAATCCGGTCAAAGGGATGCCTTGATCTTAACGTTTCAATAACTAGACCTTTTGCCCCATAATTGATTAGCTCGACGCTCATGTTGTACCAATCAAAGTTGGAGGCATTCCAAGCGGCACCATCGACGGCGGGAAAGCCTCCGATCGACCGAATCAGTCTTAAGTAAGCGGGATCGGCTGCGGGAAAGGGATAGAGCTCAGCGCCCAGACAGGCATTGTAGAATCGTTGGGCCACCATCAGCTCGCTGGACACATTTAAAGCCTCTGCCAGATCCGTCCTGCCCACCAATTGACTCGTAATGTCAGCCAGTGTGTAGTAAATGTCTAACATGGAGACTCTCCTGAATTCGGAGTGCCGGTCCGGTCGTGCAAATTTATAGTTTCCGCAGGCGTACTCGTAAAAGTCGTCACAAGGTTCCACACTGAAGTTCATGTAAGACTTCATGAAATCCGAATGGGATTGGCGAAAATCCATAGAAGACTTATCAATTTGGGTCACGGTCCTGGCGTCTCCGTTCCAAGAAAATTCTATTAGAAGAAAGTAGATTACAGCTCCACATAATCCAGCGGAGAAAAGGCCAATCGAACACAAGATCTTGTTCATTATGACGCACACGCTTATCACCGATTATGCTGCGGTAAATTGGTTTTATTTAATTAAAATCCACAGAACGCGGAACCAATTGAAGCTGGACTGCTTGACTCGAAGTTTGGTTGTAAACTGTAATCTGACAAAAAACTAAATTATTATTTCATGAGCAGAATAAATAAGCTCTCACACTCTCACTTTCGTGTGAAGCAAAAACACAATCTAAATTCAAGAACAAAACTTATTTAAGAATGTTTTTGTCTTGAACTGTGTCTATTGAAATTAGTCTAATTCTTCCAAATATAAGATATTTTCTTGGTTTTAAGTTATTTTTTGTGATGAAAAATCAGGACCCTGTTTTTTAATGAGACCTATTGCCATAGGTGTGTGCGGCTCCCCTCTGAAAAAGTGGGTTTATTTTTCTTCTTATTACATGTGTATTGTCATACAGTTTGAAAAAAATGTTGTTTAAATTAAATAATTGTAGCTATTTTTAAAATAACTGTAACGACTTAAAAATATTAATCAAATTTATATAGTTATATAAAGAGTATTTATTCTCCATAGCGTTGTATAATTCCCAGCCCCAATCTGAGAAGAGATAATGGCTTTTTCCCTGCGTAAGCGATGTGCCAGCTGACATCCGCTCATCGAACTTTATCGGCGGCCGTAAATGGGAGGAGCCACTAAACGCATATAGTTGAATATTAATGAACATGATTTTTACTGGGCACTTGGCCACTTTTATCGCCCGCAAGGAGGACACGGCTAAATCCACGGAACTCGTCAAATGACTGGAATCACTGCAGCAATTAAAGTGGATTTATGAATCCTCCAATGACAGATACGAAGAAGGAAGCGATATCTCAAAGCGGAGCCCGCCAATATTGTATTAAAATTTTGCCATCATAAAGATTATTATTTTATGACGGGAATCCTCTCTGCACCCTCGATACATATATGCTCTATATCTCGAAATATGGCCACGCGTCAAAGGCAGATTCAAATAAATTTTTAATGCACTCGTTCCGTTTTTGGTCCTGGCGTCGCACTTTTATTATTGATATTTACAACTCACATATCGACTGCCATGATGCATTATTCATTCAAGAGGCGCTGACGTCAAGACAAGGATTGTAGTATAGCACCCTCATCAACCCACCGGCTGGGCTGCCTTGCAGTGTTTGGTAATTAATGAAGCCATAAAAACTAAACCCAATTAATTAAAAATGCACACACACACACTTGAGTTTTTCCATTCGAGGGGGGAGGAAAATCGAACATCGGCCATCGAATCGGGCCATGGAAATCGAGCGGTGCCAACTGTAAAATGTCTTTTACGACGCGATCTGCACTTGATGGCCATTACCCATTACCCCCGCCTCTCCATCGTCTGATGTTGAGTATTTCCCAAGTAAAATGGCGTCGGCCATTGTTAAAGTTTTTATTACAAACTCGTAAATGTCAAATGTAATTTAAGCAAACATGTGTGCGAGTCCTCGAATTAATAGTAACTTGATTGAGCCCTGACCACATTGCCCATTGACTCTATTTTTCTTGGCCAAATGCAACATGTCCCAAGGCGTTTCCAGCGGGCAAAACAACTCACTCGAGCTAATCAAAATATTTGCAAAGAGACAAAACTAGTCTGAAAGGTGCCAGCGTCGCTTCCATCGCACATGAAACAGTTGCCAGCTGTCAAAGTCGGAGAAAATGCGGAAAATTTTAACTCAAGTGCAGCAGGGAAAAACAAGCAGAAGGGGGAGAAAAGTCAGGTTGTGCTCAGAAATAAAACATTTTCTACTTGAAAACACCTAACAACGAATGTATTCTTTTTCTTATAGAGTTTTTATAGTTAAATTATCTTATGAGTACATACATTCTTATGCAATTTTTAATTTTAAAATGTATATTTTTTAAAAATTATTTAGTAGAGTTTATTTAAATATTTTGATTTGTCTATACCAAATCTTTTTTGATAGCTAATCAAAAATAATTCTTTAAGATACAATGCAACTGAAAACTCTCACAATACAGGATTCTCACGCTCCCTCCCCACTCGAAAACATCGGGTCGTAAGCCTGCATATTTAAACATTAATTAAATTAAACTACTAACAACAAAATCGTGTAAACAGTGCGCCCTGGGGACACAAACACACTCAAACACTCTCCAAAATACCCGGCAGATTCGGACACCTTATAAACTGATGGACTCGAACACGAGGATGCGGACAAGGACACGTGGCGCCCACTGAGGGATCGGTCCAAATTAAGCATCTCTGCGACTCCGGGTCTCTTTTTCTCCGGCGAACAGCCGCGTGTTGATGAGCAAAGCAAACCGTAAATCGTCACATCCCCCAACCCTTAGGGAAATGTGATGAAAAAGAAGGGAGAGTGATCGAATTTTAAATACCTCTTTTTAAATACACACATGAAACACGAATGTTTTCAATGTCATTTGTGCCTAATCTCATTTCACGTGTGTTTTAGCATCTTAGCAATAATGAGTCATGTGATCAAAAAAATTGTAACCTATTTATCAGTTACGTATACGCCAGTAAGGAACATATGAATATATTTTTAACATTTTCGTATAGTTATAAACAATTTAATATTTTTTGATGTTAAGTAATGATAAATAAATTGACAAAAATATACAAAGAATTGGTTTGACTATAAACAAAATTGTTTATACTAACACAATATATACAGAATAAATACAATTATACTATTTTCTGATCTGTATAAAAACGATATTCTAACATATCAGTTAAATAATCACATTATTCTGTAATAACAGCTGGTCTAAAATACCCTTTGTAATGTTACCTTAAGCATTAGCAAGAAACACGGCATGGATTTCAAGAAACGTGTGACACTTGGCATGTGACCTGACCCACCCATTTTCCATTTCCCAGCATGACTTCTCTCCAGAGAACAGTTGATTACTCAGCTCGATGACAACTATCAGGAGTTAGAGGCCGCACCTGCCGCAGACTGGGAATATGAATTGGATAAACCCAAAAAACGGGAGAGATGAACCCGCATTTATCAGTGGGTTATTGCAATTCCAAACCAAAGAAACCCCAGAAAATGTGAAAATAATTTGAATAATTTCCCGAATATTTTCGCACGTGCGTTTGGCTGGCTGGGCCACCCCTTTTGTGGATGATAATGAGGCGCCCCTGGAAAGTAACCACTTTCTGGCCTCGAATGGCCAACTGTCGTCGCTATGACGGATATGCATTGACATAGCAAATTAATATTAATTTCTGACACACGCGCCAGTGACACTTTTCCAAGTTTCTGGGCATTGCTGCAGAAAAAATAACACGAAATTATTCTCAAAACATTTATTTTGTCTGCGATTCCAGGGGCAATGATGAGGCTGTCTGGGTCTGGATGTTGGAGATCGGGGATGGGAAATGAGGACGGTCCTAACTGGCATCCTGTGACAGGACAGGATATCAAGTGAAATGATGCGCGCGTCCGACGGAGCGGCTTGAGTAATTAGTTTGGATTTTGTGGCATTATAAAATCTCCTTTTTCGGGGCGGCTGGCGCACAAATATTTATTCAAGTGTTAAAGTGTCTGCCGCGCAAAAAGTGTTTTCTTTTTGAGCACTCACTCTGCGCGCTTCCCTTGCTCTTTTTTTTATTTGTTCGTTCGTTTTATATTTAAAAATTTCATTGGCCCCGGCGACAAAGGCCGTCAATCTTTGCTTTCTGTCTGTGATGTCCCCTCGAATACCCCTCGCAAGTCCCATGAAAAATTAGACACCTTATGCATCTTTGCATCGAAAAGTTTTCCCAGCGAGGGAAAACATCATTTTCATACACAATCAATCCTTGTAATTGGCCGTTACGCGCTTTCCTCTGGCTCGCGCTTTTTTCTAGTTTTTCCCATGAAAAACGTAGCGCTAAATGAAACTGCAGGACGGAAAAAGAAATAAGAGAAATGAAAAGCTCCGCCATTTTTTCCGCGGCCAAAAATCAAAGCGTAGATGAGAAAAGCAAAACTCACGCACAGCAAAAGGGAAATGCCAGAGAAAAGTTTAATTTCACTAATCACAGCAGAGTAATTACGTGGAAAATGAATTTTTTTCCTTTCGCCGCCAAGGAAGTTCCGGAGTTTCGAAATGGAAAGGTACCGGAACTTCGGGGCAAACAAATAACTGGCAATTTGTACGATTTAATTTTTGTGTGCATTTTGGAAAAAATGTCAATTTTACTTTGCTTATTAATCAAACGGAAAAGCTGCCAGAAGTCAAAAGGTTTTTTTACGGAAAAAAATTAAAAGGTCAGAGAACTTTGAACTATTGATTTTCTGGGAGTTTTGGGGGATAAAAAAATATTCTCTGTGTGTAAAAGACATTATGTTCTAAAACACTATATATTTGTTTTTGGTCAAAATATGATTTTTAACACCATTGTTGAAAATCGTTGAGAAAATTCCCTTGCAGTACCAACAATATAAGAACTTGGAAAATATATTTTTATCTAATGATCCTCATAGATCATTATTGTCTTGTCTTTCTTTTATTTATTTATTAGAACCAAATTTTCCTCTATAGGGGGTTTCAGATTTTATTTTTAAAAAGTATAATTACCAGTTGTTCTTTTAGAAAACTCTTTTATAAAACCTTAAGCTAGAAGTTAAAGGCTTGCAACCATTTATAAATGCTGCTTGTTAATCAACGAAGCTGTCAGAAGCACAAAGGTTTCTCAAGAGGAAAAGACAAGATGGATAGATGGGGGGTCAGACAAGTTTGAGCTGCGGATTGTTAGACACTTTCGAGTGATCCAAAACGGAGGTGGAGCGGGGTGGGAAGACACTTGTTAGTGCCACGTCTGCGGCACACATGGCTCTCCGATGAGTTTCCCACATTTTCGTCACCCGCTCGGGACGGGGTGCACATAAATCGCTCGGAAAACTAAACACGCAATTCGAGAGTCTAATAAAGTTGCGCAAACAAATGATGCGGTGGCCCCTGGAACACCGAAGTGGAGCACC